TCTTTTACATGAAAGTCCATCAATGCGGTTGTGTTTTTATTTTCCCACTGTCTTGACCAGGGAAGGGGCATCCTTTCACAAAACATTTTAAAACCCAAATGGCTTGTGCTTCTCGGGTGCTTACATTGTGCCAAGCAGCATTTCAAAAACATGAGACATCTCATTTGGTAGCCTATCACCCATTGCCGTTAAACAAAGTACCTGTCTGAACTAAAACTTCTAAACATTGCATAACCACCTAAATGACACATCCAACCAAAAAAAAAACATTTACGATTCTCCTTACCACACAACTTGAATCCCTAATAATCTGACTCATTATCCTTACAACTGTGTGAATCACTTTCCAATCCAACTCGAGAAAATAAGGTGGAACGTTAACTTTAACCAGTGAGTTTGTAGCACTGCCCTGTCATTGGATGTAATCAAATTTGAACTTTCAATCAAGTTTCAACTTTTAAAGGTTAAAATGTCATTTTTTTAAATGATAATTGGAGCTTTAATGAAGTTCAGTCTGATTTTTAGGCAGCGTTACTTTCACAGCAGGTTTGTTCTGCGTTTTATAGTCCCGATTTCTGGCAGAATGCTTTTCTGTGCCTTAAAATTAACCCCTTCAGGATCAAGAAAAGGAGGAGTGTGAAGAGAGCTTGACATGACTGCACTGTGCAGTACGTAACCCTATCTCAGGAGACATCTGGAGACAGGTATTTAGGAGTTAGGCTGTCCATTGCCATTCGAACAGCTTCAGTCTTTCTTGGGATTCTGTTGTACAAGATTTGCACTGTTTCTAGTGGGATATTCATCACAAAGGAAAGCCTTCAGATCTGAGGTGGAAAAGTATTCCACACTCTAAGCTCCACAACTTTCCAGATTTGTCACGAGAGCCGGGTCAGACTCCCGTGAAATCTGCTGGTAAGACCCTATGCGTGACGGTATAATCCGGAGGAGTCTGGAGAAGGACAGTAGGGAAAGACACAGCAGGGTTAGGTCGGGTTGACAGACAGGGGGCGGTGAACGTAGTGATATGGGTGGAAGCAGGGCGCAGGGCGCAGTCCATAATCCAAGAACCGGGAGAACCATCCAAGACACAGACGATTAAAACCAGGGAACGGGGAACTAGGACCAGGAAACCCGGAGATAAAAACATGACGGGACTGGACGCTCCGAGCCCCGGGCTCCGAGGTCAGGACGTCTGGGGATAAGGCCTCTGCCCTCGGGCTTCTCCGGAGCCCGGTGAGAGGCGGGCCGCCAGACGCCCGTCTTCCAAGGCTGAACCCGGAACTGCAGAGACACCGGGCTTCAATAACCAAGAGGGGACGGGACACAGGCGAAAGGACTAAAACTAAAAACAATACAACAAAGGTAGGAGCGCCCTCTAGAGGAGGGATGACGACCGCGACAATATCGATTCAATAGTGTTCAGATCTGGTGACTGGGGAGGCCGTGGAAGGTGTTTGACTTTGGCCTGGTGTTCATGAAACCACTCTTAAAGCCCTGTAGCTGTGTGTATGGGGCCATAACTGCCATGGATTGAGGAAACATCTAGAGGAAACAGTGTTTGCACCACAGGGACTTCAGAATCTTCTGTCAGCCACCAACACGTATTTCAAGCTGCTGACTCCATTTATAGAATATATAAATATACACATATTTTTATGGACAAACAGCAAATCCATGTAGCCTATGAAACCTGATATGAACCACACTGCAATGCAATACGAGTCTTCTCTTCCCCCGAGCAGTGACTTGGGTGGGCTTGTAAACCTTTATCTAAACAAGAGGAGACCCTCCAGTCCCTCTAGCGAGACTACATTGTACAGTATACGATATATCTGAAGTGGTCTATTACATACTCCTAACACCACAGGAATGTAACATACCGGATGGTGAGGTCCTTCATTTATTCAGGTTACGTTTTGGTTCCTGAATGTTTTTTTTTTCTTGATGTAGTGACAGACCTCCCTGCCTCTTCAGAACACTGGCTTCGATAACGTCGTGTTCGTCGACTTCGCTCTCTGTCAGTCGTCTTGCAGTGACTACCAGTTACGTCACAAATGCCTGTCGGTGAACACCCTTCTATTTTTTTTTTGTGTATTTTGTTCCTCCTGGCAAAAACATTTACATTCGGTGTTGTATATCAGAGTGAGGAGACTGGCAGTGTGGGGGGCCCTTGGAGTCGAGTCGCTGCTCGTCTGGATCGAGAGAGCCCAGCTGGGGTGGCTCAGGCATCTGGTGAGGATGCCCCCTCCCTGGTCCCCCCTCGCTGGAGGTGTACCAGGCATGGCCCACTGGGAAGAGACCCAGGACACGCTGGGGGGATTATATCTCTCAGCTGGCCTGGGAGACCCCCAGAAGCTGGAGACTGTTGCTGGGGAAAGCGAGGTCTGGTCTGCCCTCCTCAGCCCTGTTTCCACTGCAACCCTTGCCAGGAGTAAGCGCTCAGGAAATGATGATGACGGTATGATGATTTACAGAATCCCTTTGGATTCTCCCCACTTCCTTTACAGTTGCTAGTCTTTTTGAATTTCTCTGTAGTTCCTTGCCCCGACCCATATTATATATCCATTGATATGTGCAAGGCAAGAATATGCAAAAAAAAAATCTCAAAAGAAACAGATAAAAGATTTTTTTTAAGCATGAATGCATATCCTTCAACAACTATATGATACTCCGCACCAGGCAGATTAATTCTAAAGGCTTTGTGATAAAATTAGAAAAACTGAAAGCTGTACTGAGCTGAAAGCAGGCTGTCAACAAAGTGTGGTGAAATTTCCTGCATTTAATAGTCTGCAAAAAGCACTTCCTGGGGAAGAATTCCCTACAGGAACTGCTTGGATTCAGAACAAATCCTCAAGGAATTTCTCCGCAACAATCCTTTGAACATTTATAGATAATTAGAATACTTCTTGACAAACCAAGAATAAAGAAGTGCTGCATCTACTGTGAAACATGGAAAAAACATCTGAAGCCTAATCATTTATTTTCACAGTTTCCTATTTTGTCTGTACAACCAGTAAACATCCCCTAATATTATAAAGATTTCACAAATACTTTCACAATGACCCCAATAAGATTCGCTTTAATTAAAAGATTTATTACGCGGTTACAATGTGGTGGCTGCAGTGTTATCAGACCTACACATATACTGTACTTGCAGGTCACTGGCGATTCAGTTGTTGCTGTTAGCATGACAGTAGTAACCACAAGATGTCAACTGACTGCAATGTCTTGTTCTCAAAACTAAACATCACCATGAAAGATAAGGCTTAAGCCTCTGATTGGTTTTCAGGTTGGGATTGGCTAGCCTGCAAAGTGGAAAGGAATGCAGTTTTACGCTTTAAGACCCAACCCGCAGAGGAAAAAAAAACGTTCAGGAAATGCAATCAAACTACATTCAACTACACTGTTGTTTGGAATCGTAAAACCACAGAACAATTTAATAACTAGCCATGCACGGACACTTTAAGCATTGGGACTAAAAAGGCTCAAAGAAAGGAAAAATCACAAGAGTTTTATTTCACATGTATGCAAACCCATTCCAGCCCTTTTCCTCCTCAATCTCAGAACTTTGACGGGAAGAAATACGGATGCACATCAAAGAATGCATCAAAATGGCGACAAGTCATTCCCCTTTCAAAAAACTGCAAACAAAATGCACCCTCTGTGCTGTCTGTGACTTTCACAGCCATGACGCATATACATTATCTTCAACCACTGTTTGAGGCAGTCCTGCTTCTGTACGGGCTGTTAATGTTTTATACCAAAGGTACTGCAAAGAAGAGGATAGTTCTATTTATTCAAGCAATTTGATAAAAGTAAAGATCACTAGTGTAATCAATAAGGGGAAAAGAGAGTAAGTACATTTATCTCACACCATCCTCTGCATTGTATCTCCTCCAGTCCTTGAAGTCTGAGATTCCTTTTGTGGGAGTTAATGCAGTAGAATTAGTACTATTTAAAAATGAGAAAAATGTTAAAATTGTCTGCTGTAAGAGTTAACTTCGTGGTTCGTCATCGCCCCTCAATCTCCCCGAACTGATTCCCATTAACATGTAAAGACCAACTTGGCGGCGATGAGCCTTTGTATTAGAGGAAAAACCTAGGGACTGAAAAATGTGATTGGAGGCGTAACAGTGGTGCCACTTCTCGTTGAAAATGTTTTGTAGAATTCTTTACATCGAGCAAAACGTCAAAGATTTCTCAATAAGTTGTGTTAAAAAGTATAAAGAAGCAGGACAGAAAAGCTGCAATGGACCACAACACTACTGGACACTGAGCCACACTCAGTTGGAAAACAAGAAAAAGATTTTAGCGTATTTTCAAGGGAACACATTAAATCGAATTACTGAATACATTCAGCACTAAACTAATGCTTTTTTATAAGAAAATGAAATAGAGGCAAACAAATATCCAGTCAACCCACATAACTCCCTTAATTAAATTATATCACTAAAAGCATCTTAGAGGAGAGGTAGGATCTCAAGGCTGGGCCTGCACTGTGCTGGGATTGGACACCCCTGAGGAAGTCCACGTTTCTGCAAGCAGTGTGGGTAGGCCAGTAGGTGGCGCTCTGTTATCCTGTCCGAGTTGCCACACCTACACTCTAGTGAGCAGGGGCTGTGTTGTAGGAGGTAACATTCCTCAATTGAGACATTCAGCTGGGATCCTGACTACTATGAAAGATCCCATGGCACTTTTTTGAAAGAGAGGGGATAGTTAACCACAGTGTCCTGGCTCATTTCAACTCTATTGTGGGCTTGCACAATCTGGCCTCCCTAAAGTTCTGCCTTAATTAAGTTGGCGAGTCAATTTCTCACTTCTGCCTGACACACTGCGGAGTTGAGCTGCTGAGACAGAAGGACTGGCGTGCAAAACCCAGATGGGGGCAGCTCTTCAGAGACAGGAGAAGTAGTTACCCTACTATGTGTAAAATGCTTTAGGATCCCTGTAGATGGAAAGCACCATATAAATACAAAGAATTATTATAAAAGGCATCTTACCTATATGATTTTCATTCATTCCATCTGCAAGAAAACAGAAGAAAGGGTTTGTGATTTCAGCAACCTAACCCATGCTTATAATGGCATAGGCCAGACACAATCAAAAATTATACAAGACACGCAATTGTGCGATTCACATAAAACTTGGCTTAAAATATTAGACTTACACATGTCAAGTATTTTAGCACTCAGCATGCAGATTCCTGCATATGAAAACTATTTTGGAAGGTATCCAATGACATGGCACAAGGTCACTAGTACCTCACAACTGAGTTGAACAGAAAGTGGTTCTAAGCACTTGAAAGCTACAGGACCATTATTCCTGCTGAGATCAGTGAATATATAATCCTTGAAATAACCTAAAAAAGAGAAAGTGAAACTAAATTGGAGTCATTTGATTTGTCACGTGATCAGCTTACAAACCTGTATACCTGCCAGCTCCCACAACAACAGAGCAAATCGCTGTTCATTCTTCTATTGAAATCTCTTGTACTACAAGCCCATGTAATGGTAATACTTTACCTTATTTACAGCTGTTACCAATTATGTGCTGAGCTCCAATTTCCTTTCAGTAATTTATTGCTTTTGATTCATCTGCCATTTTGTCTGGCCAGTTGATTGAAATACAACAATGTTGGAAGAATCAGTCACATATCAATAACTAATACGACGGTAGTCATTCTCCCTCTTCTCTCTCTGGGGTCTTATAGTATACTTCCTACCGAGGTAACCTTGAATGTAATATCAGTTCTTTCATGTAAAACACTATTTAACAAAACAATGAAAAAGAACATTTTCCATTTCTGCTATTACTGCTCCGCCTTTTAAAAAACTGAATGTTGTGGTAATGATTTTGGTCTTGAAAAAGATGGAAAAAGTTTATACTTCATCACAATATGAGATTTCTGACATCTTATGTCTGGTTGACACTTATACAGGGTTTATTCTTCACAATGATGGTCCCACAGTGCTTCTCTGGCGCAGCTGAAATGCTGTTAATTCAAATCTATAGTTTCTGGCTCCCTCAAAACCACAAACGAGCCTGACCACCGAAACTACCTGACAACAAAGAGCTGGCGCCGGAAACAGACGTTAACCCTAATTAAGGAAGGGGCTTTTTGTTCGTTTGTAACTCCTTGCAATGTGTATAAATAAAATGTCATGCTCCTGGGGAGACAGATCTCAGATAAACTGTAAACATCTATCTTCTTTTCTATCTTTCAAAGCTACCGAAATACGAAAGCAAGCATTTCTTAATTCGAACCCTCAAACTAGGACAGACAAGCCCCTATGAGATTTTGTTTTGTACAAGTTCTGTCAGGCATTTACGTATACTAGCAAAAACATCTGATTTTTGCAGATTTATTCATCAAAGTACATACAAGTACAGTCCTTACAAAGGCAAGTGATATTTTTTGGGGTTAGTGCTTCCTGGGTGTAAGATGGTTTTAGAGATAATAAAAGCTCACTTAAAAAAACTGAGCTATGAGTGCTTTGATATACCGACAGGACAACAATTTTGCTTCTATACAACTCCAACTGGCATGTCGAAAAGAGAAAAGTAGCTTTGACGCAGGAAAAAGAGGACGTGAATGGTACATTTTTCAGGTTCATTTTACTGCTTTTATATGCAGCATGTAATCAATCATATCTGCTTTCAAAAAACTGAAACTTGTAGACTGACAGGGACAGGGGACAGAAATTACCTCTTTCAGTGTCTGTAACTATAAGCTCGTTGTTTCTCAGCATACCTTATACCTGAAATTCCACAATGCTGTCTCTAATTCACATTCCTCTGTGGCCCAAAGCACGTCTTTAACAGAAACCTTAAACTTCTATCTCTTAAAAACTGCCAGAATAAGCTAAGTCAGACATGTTCAGACTTGTTCAGCCAACAGCAATATATTCAGAGCACGTGTATAATATACTAGTTTTGGTGGAGAAAGTATTAATATGTCTTTCCTTGCCAGTGCGCTACCAAGATACAGACATCAGAAATCCTGAAAGCAGTTTTCTTTCCAAACACAAAGGAAAAGAAAGTATTAAATAAAAAAAGGTGGCACACCTTCCTTTGACATTTGTTACAAAAATATGAAACTTTTTTCTACACAGAGAATGAAAGAAATTGAATCAATTGAAATATTTTTTTTAAAATAGCCCAGCAATGTCACAAAACAACTCTCTATATAAAATGTCTCTGATTTGTAAATAGATCTATAAGTAGATAAATGTCCAAACTGTTACATAGTAATATCTCCCTCACTTTATCACTTTGTATACACAACATACTTCTGTTATACAAGGACTGTATTCATACTTCTCTTTGTAACATATCAAACAGGACAAAACAGGACCGTTCTCCATATAATTATTCTAATTTATAATCTTCAGAGGTCCACATTCGAAAGGCAACAATTCTCATTTTCAGTACACTTGTACAGATGGTCTTATAAAATCTGGATTTTGCAGAAACTGGACAATGAAAATTAAAGTAAAGATCCTGGTTATAGGAATAAAGGCTCTTGGACCTCAGATCGGTATTAACATATGATTTAATTCAACCAGGTCTTCCATTTTCAAAGGACAAAAGCATCTTACTTTTCCCCCAAATGCAAACAGTTTTAGTTAACACTGATACCTGATAATACAGCACATGACTGTGGTACAGTATATAAGACAATTATTGGATCCTCAACAGCTAAACATATCGATAAGTATAAACAACGACTCCCTGAAGCTTTCTGTTAATATACTGAGCACTACCATTCAAGATACACTTTCCATAATCTTTGAGAATTTCGATAAAGGTTCTCAGCTTAAAATACTTCCAGCTTCTATTTCACCTCCAGGACATAGCAGAGGTGATGGTATGAAAAAAAAAAACAACAACCTGAATTTAACTATTTGGGGGAAACTCTTCAGTATGACTAAGCAGGTTCTTGTCATCTGTTTACTGTATAATGAGTGGAAAAGATTAATAGAAACTTGCTGTAAGGCCAGGGTCTCAAAGTCAATCCCTTGAAGGCCTGTTTTCTGGGTTTTGCTCAAACCAGAGTACTTAGATACTGTAACTTACCTAATTATTTCCCTATCTAGACATATCCCAGACCTTTATTTAAATAGCTATTTAAATAACATACTTTAGTTATTATACAGTTACACAGAAAACGTACTGGAGCCTGGTTAAATTTATTAACCATATGCAAATACACGTGCAATTAAATGATGCAATTAAATAAATCAGACCAACTGCGTGACCGAGACCCGGGGTGAACCAAAAAGGAGCACACACCGAGTCCTACAGGAAATGAGTCTGACACCCCTGCAGTAATGCAGTATTGCCAAGCAACCTTGAGTCACAGAACATTCCAGAAAACCACCCTCACTGACTTATGCACTGGTTTATTCTAAACATACATTACTTTTTATAACACATTGCCATTTGAGACAATATGAACTAAAACGAACTTCAACGAAAAATTTTTAAAAAGTCACTTAATGACTAAGTTCGGTCTGTCAGCCACTCCCTTGTGTCTGCCAAGCCATAGTTGGGAAGGTTAAGACTTTGACTGTCACCTACCCTAGCAAAAACATTGCTGGGTATCCCTTACTCACTAGGTGAACGTTTGATCCAGGCTAGGTGTATACTGCACCGCCATTTATAAAAGAAGTGAAATTTCTGAAGAGTTGGGGTAACAGATATGGTAGAAAGTATGATAGAAAATATTAAGCAAACCTGAACTTCATTTTTTTTTCCCTCACAGTGCTGAAGTGGAAACACCCCCCTCTTAAAAATTAAAACTGCCTTCAGGGGAAGAAATGACAATTTTTTCATTGACCTGAGCAGTAAGCATAGTGAGCTTACAGTCTTTACACAGAATTATTAGTTCCAGAATTGCATAGGTATTAGTCTATGTAAAACGTAATCCACTATCTATAAACTGTAGAGCCACTTCCAATATAACTTACATAACGTCGTTATATAACGACTAAACTGTTTCTGGATAGTAAACTCCTTAATTTGTGGGTTGACCTTTAAGAAATCAACCGATTTAAAATGATCAATTTATCATTAGCCTTATGTACTTGTTCCATATGCAGTAGATAAGGGATTCCGATGACATTTTATTTTTTATTCACATAGTAAAAAAAGGTATTGTAACCACGTGCACCAGGAAAGAAGCAAATAAACCGGACTAGAAGTGACTGTGAACTTGTAATCTTTGAAGATGCCAATGTTTTGATGAAATAACAAATCACCAGAGTGAAACTCGGCAGGACATGGCCTGAAATCGTGGCACACCACAGAGCTTAGGAGAACGCAGGTCGCATATAGATCCTGCATCAATTGTACAGCAGCTTTTCTCTCCATTGGGTAACTGGGCTCTGGCAAAGCTGGGTCCTGCTACACAATTACATGCCTGCTGAGTTGTGGTCTGGTTGCGGTGCCATTTTAAACCCAGAAAGCACCAGGACAGAAGCAGCTGTGCGCTTTAACGCCGAGGACCATTGTCTACATGCCTGACAAACAGATCAGGCAGAGAGAAGAACCAACACAAAGGTTAAAAAAAAACAAAAGTCCCAGCGCTAGAAAAAAGCACAATTAATACTAGGTTTTATGGCTCCGCAGAAGTGGCAACAGTGTGGAATGAAATATGGGTAAAGCCATGCACAATCTGACATTTTCTTTATTTGTAAACAATAGCAGGAAGGAGAGCGAGACACTCCAGCAGGACTTTCCTGATTCCGATTGCTGCAATCAAGTTCAAGCCCCGCAGGGTTTTCGTTTTGCATATATTAGTTTAAAGGCTAATCTAAACCTTTCAAGCTTTCACTAGTGGTGCGATGGAGTGTGCAGTGAGAATATAACATAGTGTCCTGCTGAGATCCAAGAATAGCAATGCCTTATAAGGCAGAAATGTTGAGATCACTAGGAAAAAAGAATTAGGGCACAGCTGTGTAGTTCTGTGGGCTAAAACATAGACTCAATATGTCATAGAAAATTAAATCAGAGAGCTGCATAT